GCTGCGGCCCCGCCGGTGACACCCCTGTCTCGCCAGGTACATCACGTGCACCGAGTACACGCAGTTCTACGGAGGGAAGAAGGCGGGTGAGTGGCGTCCAGCTCTGCCCCGGCCCCTCTGCCCTGCTGCAGCCCCGTCCTCGCCCGGCTTTTGGTGCTGGGCCCTTGCAGCAGCACTTAGGAGTGCTGCCGATATCCCTCCTCACTGGAAAAAYATCGTGCTCTGGGTGCTGCCCTCCTCCCTTGTGGCCTGGACCTTGGCAGACATCCTGCTCCYATTGCTGCATCTTTCTTGGTTTCCATTCTGGTTTCTTTCTATTCACATAATGAAAGTCTCCTTCTCTTTGCTTTATTGGAGCCCTCCAAGGCTTGTTCTGCTCATCCTGTCCTCTCCTTTGGTTCCTTCACGTTGAGGTTCTTGGGGCAAGTAGGCAGGTTTGACACAGGGTGGCTGGTGAAATGGCCTCTCGAGCAGAGCAGCCTCCTGTTGCAGCTCATGGGTCTGAGCTGCCGGACTTTGCAAGGGGAGTCTTAAAAGCAGGAATGCTCATCTTGAGCCTTCCAAGCTGTTTGGAGTGGAAACTGTAACAATGCGGAGTATGATACCYGGAGCAGCTAATCCCTGCCCTCTATCATATCTGTATCTACTGATACTGTAAAGCTTAAAGATAGTAGCAGTATTATCCATCTAATTTAAGTTCAGTACTCTAAATGTGACAGAATTATTTTGTTTTCTGTAGTTCATGCAAATTCATGCTTAGCAGTTTGATTTTTGCTGGTTTTGCAAGGTTGAGTGTATATTTTTCCACTGCCACTGCATATCTTAGGAAGTGTAACTTTCAGGTGTTTATTGTGTCCTTAGTTACAGCTTCAGGAGTATTTTTTTACTTGGAATGCTGTATATTCATTAAAATCCTGTGTTTTCTTTTTCATAAACAGATTTTCCACGAACTAATTTTAGGCGTTTATCATTCGATCACTGCAGGTAAGAACAGAAGAGAGAGAGAACAAAGTTACATTATTATTATTAAATGATARTCTGCTGAACTTAAACTATTACTGAAGCTACGTGTTCTTCTGAAGTAGCTATTTTCATTGACTTGCCTGTGCTGTGAAGTTAATGTGGCAAGAAATATTCCAGTAAGTACTGCCTATGTGCCAGTACTTCCCCTGATTAGTGTCTGTTGAGATTGAACCTGAGGATTAAATGATACATAAGTGTGCTAAAATATTTCAATTAACATTGAGTAGCATCTTCAAGTCTTAAAATCTCTGCAACTGGTACTTGAATATCTGCTTTTCACTAGTAAGAATCTCTTTTAATCATTCATGTTTGTGAAGCAGTGATTAGATTGAAGGAGTTTTTATGTTATATTTTGTGCTTAGAACTTAGTTGAAGAACTAGAGTGAAAAGAGTGAAATTAATATTTGTAAAGGTGTTTTAAAATAGTGAATTAGATATTTCAAGAAGCTACCAACCCCCTTCAACAATGTTGGTTGGCAAAAAGCTGGCTGGTTTATGGAAGCAGCCCTAACACGGGGTGCTGCTGTGGGAGCTGGTTGCTCCCTAGCCCTCTTCAGTGCAAAGGCAGCACTGAAGGCAAAGGCTGGAGCCGTCAGTTGTGCTGCCAGGAGCCGGCCTGACAACGGAAGCAGGTTTGGGAATATTGCAGTGGGCATTTGGTGGCCGTGTGGATGTGAGCACTGGCAGCTACAATTCCATCAGCTCCTTTCAAAATAAGGAAGCTAATTTCTATGGCATCAGATAGTGCGTATTGGTAACTACTTACATTTCACTGGTATTGGCCTTCAATAAATGAGCARTGTGGTGTTTGTTCTTTTGTCATGATTTCCAGATGATTTTGCTAAAACAGTGTCTGATGKTTTTTTTTCTAGTTTGTCTCTGCAGCCATTTGAGTACCCAGTTTGCACCCCAGATGGGACAGTCTTTGACATACTGTAAGTTGTTGTCTGTAGTTGGCTTAGTTTTTGTGACTTGCTGACCTCTGTGCTTCAACCTTGTGTGTGATCATCTTTTGTTCTTGTCCAGTTGGCAAAAATAGTCATGCCCATCAAAAACAGAGATTTCTAGTGACAACTTTATCCTCTCTGTTTTCAGGAACATTGTTCCTTGGATAAAAAAATATGGAACCAATCCAATCACAGGAGAAGTAAGTAAATTATGGTTGTATTTACATTATTTATTGTTTTTCCTTACATACAGTTTCCTGTTTAATGTGTGCGAGAAATGGAAGTACTTTAATGAAAGCAAAAAGAACTTGAATGGCAGTGTTATTTTGAAATATGATATTTGTGAGACTAAATTTGCTGAAATAAGGTACAGGAATCTCTTTTTTAGCTAAAAAAGTAAAAAGGAACCATTTAGATTTGAGACCTGATGAATTCTCACTGCTGTCCTGCTTTTTATCTTTGTAGCACAAAATAGACTCTGACTGTGKGTGTGGAGGTGCCCGGGGAAGTGGCACGTGGTGGAGGAAGTGAGCGGTTTGTTTATATGCATTCCCAGAGTATTGTGCTCGTATCGTATGTATAGATGGGTATGAGAACTCCTGTGTTACTGGTAACAATGTATGAAAAGGTGAATTGATGACTGATAAATGGTTTTTGGATTGCTTTGTACAGTAGTGTGGAGCTGTAAAATACTAGATAAAAATGAAATATTGCGGAGATTCCCCTGCTGGGAAATACATTTTTGCTATTGTGTTTAAAGTGAATTCTTTAGTAGGGCATAGAGAAAAAAAAATAGAAATTGCTGCATCACATATTTGTTTTCCTTGAGTAAATGCAGTTACTTTCCTGAACGTTAGGTGTCAGCCATGGCACAGAATTTCTGGTTGGTCTGCAGATTGTTTTGTGGTAGATGAGCTTTGAAACATCTTGTGTTTTGATTAAAGATCTTCCCTGCAGACAGATACGAGGAGAAGCTAAGCACAGATGCAGGTTTCCAAACTGCAGATGTGAGCAGCATGTCTGGGACTCGGTATCTCTGGAGTTATAGCAAACTGCAAGTGTGTTTGCTTGATGCTCATCAAAGGCCTGCAGTTACACACAAAGAAGCCAATATTTGTTGTCCTGAAGGAAAGGAATTACAGCCATTTAATTTGTCTTTGCCAGCCCCCTGCTACCTGTTCTATGTGTTAGTCGGGAATTTTGGAATGTTGCCAGTTTGCTTATTTTTACAGGCATCAACTTCATGACACCTGTTCTTATTTCGTAGTGTGAACCTTGGTATGATTTAAAAGTATTTCTGGTAAATAATAAGGATATGCAAAGGGCCTAGTGGTCTTGTGGAGCGCAGGGTGGAAAACTGATGTAGGGCATCTGGTCTGTGGAYCCAGAGTTGTTCTGCTACATCAAGTTAATTTGCATTCTTCCTCGTGCGCTGCCTGTTCTGCTGGGAGCCCTGTTGCTCCACGATGGAGGAAGCTAGTGGCACTTTAAGTGGCTCCTTGTCCCTTAGCAGCAGCGCTCTGTTGTTATTGCTGCTGATGGAGACAAGTGAGATTGTGCAGGATTTACCTGGTGAGCAATCAGTGCACAAATGAAGTCCAGCTTTAACATCCACTCGCATATTCTGCCTTGTGTTTCTGTAGCTCACCTACCTCTCTCCAGTGTTTGTCCCCACTTTTTCTGTAACTTGCTGTTTGGGGAGCCCTTTCTCTTTACTGTTTATTCCAAGGTTGACTTGTGCTGTACCACTGTGTCCTGCAGAGGACGAAGGTGTCCACACAACTCGTAAAACAAGGACGTTTGCACTTCGTACCAGTGCAGAGTCCTGCTGAGCAGAGCTCCATGGAGCTGTGGTTTGAAGAATGGGATTGAAAGAAATGCTGTAACTTGGTCTTTATTTCCCAGAGAGACACTTMTAGTTTTGTGAGGGGGAGGGATGGAATTGGTCAGTCTAGGAAGGGCTGTGCTGGGACAAGGCAGGGTAGGTGCAGAGGAAGTCAATCAGCTGAGTTTGTGCAGCTCTAGACTTTATTGCCCCCCAGCTTAGTGCTTATCACCCTGTRTTTAACTCATCACTGAGTATGTGCCTTCTGTGACTTGTACCACTTGCTCACAGCTGAAGCCAGAAAAGAGAGATCTGTGATGAGTTGGTGGCTTAGCAGACTGCAGGTCTCCAGGTTTGTTTAAAAAACAGTTGAGCCAGATTAGCTGCCTGGCAGTTTCGTAAAACAGCTGAGGAAGTTGCTTTGAACAGACTCATGATTTGTCACAGTGATGAAGCTCTACAATATTTTTCCTTTTTCTATCCTGAAGTTAAAAATGATAATGAAACCCTTTGCACCTTGTAGCTGTGCTGTTGTGGCTTGCTACAGGCTAAACATTTTAAAGAAATCAATAGGCTGCCTGGCAAAGGTGTTACTAATGACACACTTGTGGAACTCACTAATTCTCCCTAGTTATCTTGTTTCTGAAGCGGCCCCTCAGTGGAGATTTTGAGAGCCTTGTAGTCATTAATATGTTTATCTTTGCAGTCTTTCCCAGAGGTAGAGTTGTGCTAGTCTTTTATTAATTCTGTGTTTGTGGAACTGATCTACATACAGTCATACATACTGCTCTGATTTTTCTGAACCCTAAACCATTGCACTAATCTTCATTTTAAAGGAATTTTGCAATGGTGAGATTGCACTTATCCTTTGATGTGCCATTTTTTTAAAAAAAACTCCGCTTCTTCCCTGTAATTTCTCATGATATTTCCTCTTGCTTTTCTGCATATCCTCTTGAGGTGCAGTGTAGWCACCAATATCCTTCTATGTAGAATCTAAGGAGAAACAATTCACTATTGACCTCTGCCTAGAGTTTCCCATGAGCTATTCCAAAAAGTAACCTTAGATTCTTTTTTTTTTCTTCTTTTTCATGATGCGTAACAGTAAAACCCACTTGTGTTACTACACGGATGGTTTTGGAGGAAGCAGTGCATCTCTTGCAGCCGACCCACAGCCTGTCCGATGCAGTTGACTTGCTTACATTTTTGTCAGCTTTTTCAGGACGCTGCCCTAGCTTATGTTTACACTGAAGTTGTATCAAATAAAGGCTAACTGGGAAAGTCAGAGTTATCTCATTCCTTTTCAGTGAGAGCAGCCCTTTGGCTTGCAGGGCTTGTCAGGACGTGCCACGTTGCCAGCGCTGGCCATGCGGCTGCCTCGCGACYGCCGCTTCCAGGAAAGGAGACCGCTCAGCTCCTATCGCCCTTGTTGGAATCTCAAGTATGAGCAGATGATAGAGCTGCAGGAAGGTAGCAGCAGCCTGCCTCTTAACGGGAATTTCAGGGGAAAGAGTTCTTTGTTGCACAGATATTTTCTGTATGAGTTGTTTTTCTCTTTTGTATTATTATGTTTTCAATGCAGAGACCTATTATTTTCACTGGTTTGTTCTCAAAATGTGTGAGTGTACTGTATTATTGTGGTTGCGCTTCAGCTCTGGTAGAGCCTGGCTCCATMGCCCTGGGTAAACAGTCTCTCTCCCCTGTTTCAGAAATAGCTGCAGTCTTGGCCCCTTATTCTCACTTTTCTGTGGAATTTTAGTGCTTTTGGACAGTTGCAAGTTGGTTTGGCTCTATATTTGTTTCTAAGGCTCTGGTCCAAAGCCAGTGGTGTTTTTAAGGACATCTGTTATTAAACTCATCTGTGTGAATTTTTGGTGTGCTTTTCAGAACAAGCCAAAATCCATATGCTGAGTCTGCATAACCCCAAGAAGCAATATTTCTGTGAAGGGGCTATGTGACTGACCTGTCTCGAAAGGACCAAAAAGACTTTGTGCCCAAGTTAACTTAGCTTGGGCTTCACATGCACCAAAGAGTCCAGCTAAGACTCCAAGAGGCGCTGCAGGCAGTGGCTGTAGCTCTGCGATCCCTGCAGATGTGGCTCTGCAGTAGCGTCTGGCCCTTGTGCCTGCCCCAAACAGTGTTGGAATCAAAACTCTTTCCAGGTGTGCTTTTCAGTGAAATATCTCATCTTTCAAATTGGGAGGTTTTTCTAGAGCTGTGAAAGCCACCTGCTTGGCCTGCCGCAAAAGATGGCTGTGAAAAGGGGCCCGGAGATGAAAAAGCAGCAGAAGGTAGAGCCGGTGACATGGGAAGTAAAGGTTGGCTTTGGGGTTGGAAGGTTGCAAGTCTGAATTCCCACTGGCAGATCCACCTTCTTAAAAGGGAGAGTTCTGCCCAAAGGCTTGCTCCACACAAAGGTAAATATTTGCTATTCTGCTTCCATRCTCTTAGTCCTCTATTTACCAAATAAAAATGATTGAGGGCTGAGATCATGACTAACATGATCAAATAATTGAGGGTCTTAGATGTCTGGCAGTGCAGGTGTGTGCCTCAGCTGCTCAGCCTGTCTGAGCTGCTCTTTGAACGCACCTGGGGAGCAGATCACGGTGCCCTGCAGCGGTGACGGGCGCAGGGGACACCGCCTCAGCCTGGCACTGCTCTGCAGACATTGGCGGGGCCTTTTCTTAAATCATTTGCTTGAAATTAGTTTGTTAATGCCATACTTGGCTGAGCCGTTATAGGTGCCTTCAGAAATGCTATTTTTTCACCCCCAAAGAAAAGCTTGTAACCAAGTGTGTTATTTTAAAACTTTGGCGAAGTCATTTTCAGTTACATTCCTTAAGTCTATTTATGAGCTCATTCTTGTCCCGAGGGCTGGTGGCTTTGTACCTCCTTTGCTTGTGAAAGCACATTTTCTGTTCTGTTTGATAACTGAAGTTCAGGCACTCTCAGAAATGATTTGCTGTATTGAAGTGGGAAAAGCTTGCTGATGAGGTTAATGGAGATGGTGTGTTGCAGGATTACTCCCTTACCTCTAAATGTATTAATCACACTTTAAATAGGAACAAACAGCCTTACAACATTGTTTTTTTTTCTTTTTTTTATCTGCTCTAAAGAAGTCTTTGGCCCTCTGAATAAGGGAAATCCTGCCTGAAAAGGATACAGAAATTGGAGCAAAGGTGAAACTTCCTTAAGCATTAAAGTGTTTTTATCATGTTTATATTTTGAGAATAGGGATACAAGGATACTAAGCTCTGACGATTATGTCTTTGCCCGGGAAGGAGGACTTGGGTATTTTTTTGTTTTGTTTTACAATATTGCAACTAAAGAAACTACAGGGGGTCAGAAGTGTGAGAAATACCTAGCGCTTTATAGCGGGAACCAGTGTTAAAGCACAGGTTAAATTCCAGCCAAATCTTTATAATTCGCTATAAATTATTCTGTTGAATAGTCAGTATAGAGCCTGCAAGCTTCAGGAGTGGATTCTGGCAAGTGGGTTGCAGGAGCTGTAGGGAAAGAAGACCAAGGGCCCAAATAAAACCACCCATATTGGGTGAGCTGAGTAGAACAGATCTTTGGCCTGAAATGGGGAAGAGGACAAGTTCACGTGTAGTGTGATCCTTMCTGGCTAAATCAGCAGTGATTGTGGGTTTTATCTTAGTTCTGAGGCATTATGTAGTAATTCTCTGCAAATTACTGTTTTAATTGTGTTATTCCAGGTGTGTTTCTGGCTAACGAGCAGCGAGTAGTGGATGGCCTCAGACAGCAGTCGGTGGTGTGAAGATGTTTTTCATGCCACCGAAGTAGTAGCTGCCACTGAAATACTCTGTCAGGAAAATGCAGGAGTTCTAGATAACGTTGAGTACGRTGAACTTCCTAAATACTTGTCCAGACCTTCCTGCAACGTGTCGGTTACACTATCTTAGGATTTGGAGGGTCTTTTATAGGTGGTGTGTTGCAGCTTGAGTCAACTCTTCCTCATAACTCCTCAGTTATACCTTTTTTTTTTTTCCCCTCTCTTGAAAAGTTTTCTTTGCTCTGACTATTTCCAAAGAGAACGTGCTTACTCGGAGCATTTTCATTCTTTGTCTAAATATAAAATGCTGTGAGAGGAAAACACTGTGCAGCCTTATATAGTCAGGCTATCTCCACATTATTTTTCTATTTCTAGAGTGCTGGGACCATCTAATTATGAGKGAAAAATAATTTGTCCAATGAAGATTTTTTTCATCATTTAGAAAAAATCAGGAGTGCTTCATCCCCCTTTCATGGGGATTTTTTCCTCAGGATCTGTGACAACACCTGACATCCAAGCAGCCTGTTACATTTTCTCCTTGGGGCACTGAAAATGAATGATCATTTAGATGGATCGGTARCTTCAGGTCTCACTTGGCTTTAGCGTTACTGATGAATAAAGGAGAAACTTAAGTCTTCTCTAGGGGAAGCTTGTTACATGCATGTCAGAAGAAGTTGGCACGTCTTCAGCTTTAGAAATCAAGGTATATATCCTGATTTGTCCAATGCAGTTCACAAATGTTCAGCTGTTACACAGGTGGATGTGCTGGTTTTCCTTGTTTCCTTTGATAAACTCATATTTTTTCACTTCAGTTTTGCAATGAAGGAGTTGTTGTTCTTGTTATTGTTTATTTGTAGAAAGCAAAGTTCCAGTGGGGGAAGCAATACAGTGCTGTTCTGAGTAATAGCTTACCACAGAGGTGAGAACAGCCCTTGCAGGAATAAAACCAAGGGAGCCTTGTTATTTAAAAATGATTTAGAGAAATCCAGCTTGGGGATGATTTTTCTTGTGTTGCAGAAAGAAGAATGAAAGGATCAGGAACATAACGCTGTGAGACTCTCTTAGGTCTTCAACTCTCCTGCAATTTACTTTGTAAACTTCATTCTCTGAATCTGTTCTTGAATAGATTTGCTTTATCSCTGCCTACAGTTGCTGGAAGGTTGTCCTGATGCCTTTCCATATGAYAGGTATCTTTTGCAAATTTTGCTTTGGAGCAGTTTGTTCTCAATTCCATTTGTGTCAGTCTTGTTCTTCTCCTAGTTGGTGTTTACAGCTGTGTATTTGTTACACAGGAATTCAAAGCTTTTTTTGACGTTTTCTTGTTGGAACTTGTGTTTTCCTGTCATATGTTCATCTTACCTGTGAGTTCTCTGCTCCCCAAATAGTACAGTCATCGTTCTATGCATCTACTTTAATTTTAATTTATCTTCTTTGAGTATATGTAATCTTAATTATAGACAAAGAATGCTGGGTAACTGCCTCATACAGTGGGGAGAATATTTTCTAATCTCTTTTTGCAGTACTTTGATAACACTTTGATGTATTATAAATGATAGTTTAAATCAGAAAGTGTTTTCAGAGTATGTGTTGAGACAAGAAGGTTGCTGTCACARTGTAAGTTAACAGTTTTCTCTTCATAGCCTTGGTCATTTCAGAAGCAGGTACTTTTAAAAGCAGGAATTAGCCAGAGTGTGCTGTGGTTCCTCCTGTTCTTTGTTTGTAGCTGAATATAGGAAATGCAGCATGTTTTTCAGAAACGGGTGGTTCCAGTCTTCTCTTCTGATTAATTAAAAATGCACCTGGAGAGAGTTTTTTATCTGAGTGGATAATATAGGCCTATCTGTTCAGATATCTAGAATTCACTTTCAACAAGATGAACTCTTCAATACACAGCAACCGGACCATGTCTTCTTACCTCATTTGCTTTAGAAATTATTAGCTTTTCGTCAACAGGCTGCAGGAGTTAATATTTGACTGATGACCATAAATTTCCAAGGTCCTTGGACAGAAGCATATTAGGAAATGATTCTTGTCCAGAGGAGCAATCATAACATCATGTGTCATAACGAGCTGGTRATGGTCATAAAGCACATGCAGGTCAATGGGATGAAGGTCCTGGTTAGCTAATAACCTGAAAGATGATTCTCCTTTCCTACTGGTGAGCACATGAATAATTCTTGGCTGTTTCTCTTCCACATTGTACCTGCGTGTAGCAGGCAGACAGCTGTATCTGTTACAGTAGGCAGTAGGGTAGGCAGCACCAGTAAACGTTGGCTTTTTTTCTGTCTTCAAAAGTGCATTTGTTAATTCTCTGATTTGGGAAGTCACTGGCCAAGCTATTTGATTCCTTCCTGCCTTGCTTGTAGGAATTGTGGTGGTGATAGGATCYGTTTTATCCAGTGAGCAGGCTCTGRTCACAAACAGCTAAACACATCTAGCATTATTTCTAATGCATTGTTTCCCCCGCAGCAAAAGAAGCATTTCCATGTAGGTTTTATAGAATGAACAGATGGTCTCTTTTATTTTTTTTCCCCTCTCTCCTTTGTTTTGGTGCAAGTGCACAGTGCAGGGTTTCCATGAATGTGACTCCTGAAAAACTAGCAGCTGTGAAATGCTCTGGCCTTAAATGAAATGCAGCATGCGGTTTGCCACAGAGCTTTGCTTGCCTGTTCTTCTTTAAAATTGGGGACTAGCTTGGGGAATAGCTGCTACATGACTCTGTTTCCATAAACCTTGTTGGATTTGGTGGTGCATACTTTCTTGATTGATATGCTTCTGACTGCATTTAGGTTGCAGGCTTAATCTTATTCATGAAACAGCTCATCTTTTTCTTGTGTTATTTTCTATTAATGTACTCTTTGATATGTCAATGTTGTTGMTAGTATCTGTGTGCTGTATGTTATCAAATATGTCTTTATGATTCTCTAGACAAGGTTTCAATAACTGTTTGGGGTTAGTTAAATTAAAATTTAGTGGTCTGGAAGAGGGTAGAGAAGGATATTTGTGTACGTTTCCATGCTAGATAAAAGTATTGGATGAAGCTGTACTTAACTGGAAGTGAACTGAGCTTCTSTTTAGCACTTGCTAGGCAGTTGTCCACATGATAAATATCTAGCATTTTTACTGTTGAATTGAACATAGAGATGATTGCTTGATTCAAGAGACTGTTCAGTCCTGTTTTTTTTTTTCCGACCCCAAAATTTTCATGAAGGAAGGAAAGTTCACTGAACTATATGAATATGGCTTATCTGGTTAAACTAGTGCTGCTGTTTCCTGTGGCGTTCCCATAATGTGCAGAATTAGTGAGGGTTTCCAGGGCTTTTCATTATCAATAAAGCCTCTTTAAAGTCTGAAATAAGTAACAGTATATATGTAGTTATTCAAATACAGTTCCAGCATTCAGTTATTATCCTCATTTTTCTTGAAGGTCGTACATTAGGAAAAATTATACGATGACTCCTTGAAATGTAAAGTTGTAGGCATGTAATAATAGGCCTCCTTAAAGGAATGAAAGATGTAATACAAATTTCATGTGCTGTTAAGCTGAGTTTGGTACTTGCTAGGCAACATTCGATTTTAACATTTAGTTTAGTTTTCTATTTGTAGTATTCTTTGTTGCTTGTTTTGGGAGGGTGGGAACCTACCAAATGGTCGTGTCAGCACTAGATGATTCTGACCTGATGCTGACTGACAGTCCAGACTCGACACATGAATCTTTACCCATGATAGGGTCAGCACGTTGGAATGCGTTCCTGCCGGAGGCCATTCGGAAGGGATCCGATTCCTATGTGTTTACCATTTAATGTTAATTCAATTAACATCGATAAAACGGGAGCTTTAATTCCCTAAAACTTAGGGAATGCAGCTTAGTGCTGCACCTCGCCTGCTCTGTGCCATGGGGCTGGGGGCTCGCGTGAGCCCCCRGTGCCGGTTTTCCCGGCGCGTGCGGGGCCAGCAGACGTGACCGCGCTGCACAGAGCCTGTCCCCCAGCGCCGCGCCGGCATCACCGCCCGCGTCGTCACGAAGCGGCGACGACCAAGAGGGCCTGAATTGCAAAGGAGCAACGTGCTTCCTCCGAGAGCTGCCACAGTGCCCCACTGACCTCCCCGTCTCCATGACCAGGGCTTTGTGCAGCGGGGAAGGAGCTGCCCTTTGGGATCACGGCAGGGATGAGGAGCAGGGCGGGCTGGATGCTGCTGCGCCGAAGTAGGTCGCGGCCAAAAGTAGCCTTGGCTGGCGCCCTRGAAGCGAGCCTGCGAGGAGGGGCCGGCTGAGGGAAAAGCCTGCACGGTTTGGGGGTTTGTTTTTGTATTTTTAGCCCTCCCTTGTTGTGGAGCAGCTGGCGTTACGTGTGGTTAAATGAGTCTGCCTTGCAGTGTTCTTGCATAAAATATTTATAGAAGTGAATATCCAGCTCTTGTTTTTGTTTGGGGGGGAGCGTGGTGCGTGCTTGTGGCATTTCGTTTTGATTGCAAGTTTTGATTATGAACTTGGAATTTTAATGAGATAAAGTGTTTTTAATAAACATCACTTTTCAATGGAAATTTAGCAAAAACTAGTAGTAGGTGCATGGGGGATGCTCAGATTAGAAATAGTTTTGAACTCAAGTTGTACATTCAGTATTTTAGCTCCTTTATGTTTTATTATTAATAAGAAATAGATGAAAACAAGCACTTTAACTCATTCGAGGACTCGTTCACTCCTGCAGCCTCTTGCTGGGAACTGGCTCCTCTGTTAGTGACAGAATGGCCATTTCCATGGCAACAAACTGTGCGGTGGCACTTGGAAAGCTTTGACTTTTGATGGAAAATAAATAAAAGCAGATTCACCCCCATGCAGGATAATCCTGTTTTCACGTGAAATGAAGAGCTCAGAAAGAAAAGAAGATGCTGTGGGTCTCAGATGTTCGCTTCTGCTCTGCTGTGCTGTGCAACATGTGCAGGTCTTCAAAAACGGGCCCAGTGGGAGATGGGGCTCGCAGGGCGGAATCCCTGCTCGTCACCGTCCCACACACGGCTGATGACACTGACAGCCCCRTCTTGGGTACGGTGCCACCTTTGTCAGTCCCGGGAACTCATTGTGGTCCATCAGAGCCTGTTTTTGCTGTCCTGGTGCTCCAACTATTTGCTCTAATGAACCCTGTCTTTCCCCACGTTAGACATGTTACACAGAATCACAGAATGTTGATCAGCATCTACAAGTATTTCTCAGATGTAGCCCTCGTTACCTTCTCCTCCTTGCCTGTTTTCTCATGTGCAACCTGCAGTCCGTTCTGTCCCTCTTCATAAGCAGCTCGCACGAAGAACATCCTTGGTGAGGATTAGAGAGACCCCAGGATGGCAACCGGATGGAAGATATGATCTGAAGTGCTTGGAACTATTTCCTTGAGTACAGAATGAGAGTCCAAGGCCTTGGTAGCACTTGTAGTGACACATGGTTCMTTGACTGGTGAAAGTGTCCTGCAGCTTTTGTTGCTTCTGAAGGGTGTGCAGCAGTTTAGTCTGCGTTCCTCCAAATTTGCCAGATGTGAATCTGAGGCTTCCGTCACACCAGAGCCTTTCCTGGAGGACTGTTCACATTCCTGGGTAAAGGTGGTTTGCTCACATGTTTCAGGGAAAGCTGAAGTCTGCCAGGAAGAAAGCTTAAAGACCTTCCTTTGAAACTGTTGATGGTTCCAGAGGTCAGCTCTCTAAAGATGCTTTTTTCTTTTTACATGCAATTTCTGGGTTGTTCCACAGCATGGGCACAGATGGATGCTGCTTTGTGTTAATAAGCTGTTTAGGCTGAACAGATCTGTCCAGGATCGTATGTTCATTTTGGCASCTCCACTATCTCCCTACTACTTCTTTGACAATTTTGTTCTAGTAAAAATATAAATAAATAAATGAATAAAAGTCTGTATTCACTTAGCCATTAGAGAATTGCTGTTGCCTTGCTGTGTATGTCTCTATCCCAGCAATGTGCAGATGATTTTTTCCTTGAGAATGCTAATCTTGCRGCTCCAAACTGCTGGACCAAATATCACCTATCCTGACCTCTCTCTTGCTTTCTGTCTTTTCCCTACGAGCTCTCTCAGGCTCTCTTTGTTCCCCTTGCTAATAAACCAGAGAGAGAGTCACCTTCCTGGCAGCAAATTAGCCTGCCAGATGACTGAAAACAAGCAGAGAAGTGCCCCCCTACAGGGGAACAAATCCAGCTGTCAGAACGGGTGTGCTCTGAACCAAGAGGATGGAGTTTGACGGGACGTGGAGAACCCCCTGACGTAGCGTCCCACGGTTCGGTTGCCGGCGCGATTGAACTGCYGGGGTTGGCGCCACGGCTGGCAGGTCTCCGCCTGGATCTGTTTATAAAGAGCTGTCTGGGTTATAAGAACATCCCTAATCCGTTCAGGTGCGTGTTTTGAGAAGAGAACAGATTGTTTCTTTTAAAAGGCCTGCGCTCCGTGTGCTTTTAAGGGTGAATCTGGCAGGGAAACTGTTTCTGACAGCTGATACAATCTAAGGGCTTTTTGGATTCCGGAGGTCCTGACTCAGCTTTGACGCCGCCGTGAGCTGGGCTCGCCTTTGGGCCTGGGCTGGGTGCCACGGCTGAGCATTGCCCGCCCTCCCGGCGCGTCCTGCTGCACCCGGGGCCGCTGTAGGGCAACTCACCATGGTCCTGGGGTGCTCATCCATACCCCATGGCATCCAGGTTGCACCTCGGCCTCTTCGCCTGCACAATCTCCCACCATTGGCTGTCGCCGYAGTCCCATAATCCACAAAATTGCTACAGAGATTAACCATTCCCAAACTGCGTTCCGGGAGACTGCCCCGGTGCCGCCAACGTGGATCCCCACGTCCCAGCTCTACTTCTCTTCGTTACTGGCATCGCCTTACTGGCATTCTGTGGTCATCGAGTGGGCTCCCTTGCAAGTCTGCTAAAAGAAAGGAAAAACGAAGGCTTTGTCAGAAAAAATAATAAGCTTGACTGCCAAAATGACTTGCTGGCTTTATGACTTTTATCAGAGTCTTTTCAGAGTTGTCCCTTCAGAGCAGTAGCAATAATGTTTGCCTCTTACCTTCTTATGCCATCTCTSCTTTTGATATGTGCCGAGATAAAGTTGCAGTAATTCTTAAGTTTACTCACTTTGTCTTAGCACTGCACTGTATCAAACTACAACACTGTAACTAAATCATCTTCCAGTCTTGGGTTTCTTGAGCGTCATTTTTGTGGGCTGTCTATAACTGTGAAATTTCCAGGATTGTGATGATTCAAATGACTTGTAGTTTATTACTAACTAGTTGTGTAATATAAAAATACCAACACCAATGTCATTGTTGGCTTTTATTTCCATGGTTAGATTCTGTTGTGATTAATTTTTTTTTTCTTGTTTTTTTTTTTT